TAGCGCAAACACACATGGTCCCCGGTGGCAGATAGCAGCGTTAGAAGCATTTTCTCCTCCTTACTCCATGGTAAGGTCAGAAATGTGATTGAAAATGCACTATGTACTATTGTAATGTCCAAATTGCAGTAAGCGGAACATTTAATGAAGGCAAAATATGTGTATTTATCACAGCTGTGGAGAAATCAGGGCCTACAAACGTCTCTACTGACTCTAAATAATCCTTATTTCCTCAATTTTACATATTTTTCAATAATAATTTGAATAATAGATCCTTCATTACAATATTGCGAATCATATCGCATTTGCAATATAGGTGAAAAATCGCAGAAATGTAATTGAAAATGCAATCTGTATTATTGTGTTGCATTGTTGGAGAAGCCTGTGACCTAAGATTTTCAACGACATCATTCTGTAGCTATGTTAGTTTGACAATAAAGAACCTTGAACCTCGTATGGTAAAGGAAAAATATGTGTATAAGAACAGCTGCAGAAGAATACACACTTGAATTGTGTTTCAACAAAGTAATTATTTGAATACAGCAAATCATAACGCATTTGCAAATTGAGTCAAAATAATCGCAATTACTTATTTTTTCCAAATGGTGCAGCCCTAATGTTCGGTACTTATTGCTTTAAAAGCGTTATTCACAGAGAGCTTCACTGAGTGGCAGGTTCTGGCTGTTTTTGATTGGTAATTCATTTCTAAAAATACTTTACTGGGCTGCAGGATAGCTCTGTGGTTAGAGCTGGCGCCAATGCTGTGTTCGCTGCCAAGAACACGGGTTCAATCATAACAATGTCATCCCCTCCATCTCCCCTCTCAACAGTGCATCTCTAATACAGGCACTCGGGCCCAGAAAGTGTCTTTAAATACACTTTACTGCAGGGTTATGGTTTGTGTCAATAGAATCAACATTTATAAAGGCAATAATGATGATGAAACTGGAGGACATCCATTGGACTAGAGTAAAGAAAGGAAGGCATGTCACGACAACTGTTTGATGCTTCTATGAAAAACAAACATTCACGGCCCGTCCACACGGCGGCGTGCGTTGAAGCTTCAACGCTTCTGCCCGTTCACTTTGAATGGGGCGACGTCACGCTTTGCCGAACTGCATTGTGGGAGCGTCGCTTCGCTTCAAAAGTTGAGCAATGTTCAACTTTTGAAGCTTCGACGGAAACGTCAGCCAATCAAATCATATGCCAGTACAAGCTCTAGCCAATCAAACTGCGTGCTTGTGGGCGGGAGATTCATGTGATTGGTTGTTGGTCGAGTTTCAGACACGCCCACCGACAAGCTTCAACGCACGCCTCCGTGTGGACGCTGCGTCAGGAACGTTAAGTGTGAGAGAAAGACATATTTTGGAGAGAAGTGAAGCTGCACTTAACTAAAGTTAACAAAGGTCATTTTGGGCGACTATTGAACTACAAGGAAGGCATGTCACAACAAAACTACATTCATTAGAGAGTTTAAAGTGTGAGATAATCACATGTTGTGGCAAAGTAATGCTGCGTAGCCTCTTACTAAAGTTACCAGAGGTCAGGTTGGTGCCATGAAGTCTTTCTGCTGACCTCTCTTAAACGAGATGCTCTGAAATCCTTTAGCAAGAGGTTGATCTAATAACATGGTGGTGTCTTGGAGCAGACTAATGGTTCCCTACATGACTGCTGCGTCTACAACGTTTGAAGTGGGACAACTCTCCGCCTCTGACAGGTTATATGCCCAAAGAGGCTTCAGGGACATCTGGTCTGTCCATTAGGCCTCGGATGACTGTAAAGAAGACAGATTTACTAAGATGGAGCTTCTTTGTGGTTGCCAGATATACGGCAGATGCAGAAGGAAAAATAGTAATGACGACAGCGCCTCAAAACAAATGTAAAATGGCAAGAAGTGATTATTGGAATCGTCTTGATTGAGTTACTGTAAACACGGAGGGCATAAACAAATATCTCAGAAGAAGAATATGATAACAAAAACTAAGTAATACATACAAAACCTCTAACATGAGAAGAGGTCATTAAACTAAATCCAACAACAGCTTCTCATCAACTCCCCCGGCTTTCCCCACAACGTAAACAGACTGTAAAGAGGTCTAAGAAAGCGGAGTCTGGAAAAGGTGAAAAAGAGAAAAACTGGAAGGCACCACTGAGCTGCAAAACGATCCATGCATAGATAACATTTCAAAGCTCCATGTGGTGCTTTTTCCTATTAGATGTCTCGGCGTCAGACACACGAGAACTCTTTCTCTCCAGGTTTCAAACGCACTTAAAATGTGAAGGAAGACTTCCATACATCTGCCTCGTCTGTTACAAACATCCTTTCACCGCCCATCTCATTCCCCTTTTTCCAAATACTCATTAGTAATCCAACTAATTTGACATTTAAGGTTTATGGAGCTATAAAAATGAACTAATCCTATTTCCCACTTCCGATCAAATTGTTATAGGGTTGTTATCGTGACATTTTCAACGCATGCTGTTGTCATTAGCTAATTGCACCAACAAAATGAAGCCCTTATTATCAGGGATGATGTTTGCCCTAATTGACCTTTCGTTTAAAACAGGACAGAATAATGACTTCAAGCTTGATTCATCCAAAAGGGAACGTCTCACACCTGCAGTCAGTTTCTAAATGATACACCTGATGGATGTAATGCCGCTGGGAATCTGTTTCAAAGTTATTACAGCTGTCATGGATTGCCTTTTGTTTTGGATATCAGGACTTATCTCCCACCCCTTGCAGCCATTTGTTCTTGATCATCATGAATGATTTATCATAGTTAAAATGACAGCCAGACTTTTTAGTTTTATCTAAATATCACCGTGCCAAGTTGTGTTTTTATTCAACGCATCTCCTTTGAAGTCTCCTCCAGAAAACATTTCTCAAATTGTCACATCTCCTGTAATTTACTGTCTTATCAATGTGTTTTAAAGTCGACCCAGATGCAAACAGTGAGTTGGAAAACACTGTAAATGGACAATAACTCAGAGTGACGTTCACCTTTAAAACTCACAGGATGCCATACAGTAGATAGCTTGAGTTTTTTTTTTTTTTTTTTTTTTTTTTCTCATACTGATATTCTGAACAATCTGTGCTGTTGTATTTGCTGTAAAGCGTCTCTACTGTAGGCTAATTTTATTATATGTACAGCACTTTGGCTCGACCAAAAATCGTTTATAAATGTGCTATATAAATAAAACTTGATTTGATTTGATTTGAGTGAAACGCATGCATTCAGACTCACAGCTGATCTCACTCTATAACCATCCAATAGTTTCCCATGTGTGCATTTAAGCATAAAAGACAACATATCCTGTCAATTAAAAATACGCAGACACCCCAATAACTGACCAGAGAGCTCACAGTGGGAATAAAGTTTAAACCCTCCCCTCACCGCGTCTTTTTTAAAACGTGTTCTTGTTCGACTGTAGCCACATGCAGGGCAGAAATCTGTTGGCAATTTTCTCTCTTTAAGTGTTTGTGCGTGTGGGTAATTTTCTGCTTTCAGGACCCGAGGAACGCGAGGCAGAGAAATGCCCGACACGCCGAGCGAGACGAGAACACACGGGTGCCCCTTAGAGTATATAGGGTACACACCAAAAAAGAAGCGGCCCCCATGCATGCATTCACACACACTCACACACACTCCAAACCCCTGAGCGATCATGTCCAATTTGTAGGTTTGGTTGAGCGTTCGATGCAGAAGGAACAGGCTCGCTGCCAAGAAAAACACCACGCTTAGAGCTCCAATGACCATTACAAACACGGTGACATTAATCATATTTAGTATTTTGTGGCATTTCAGCCAATCAATTAGGGAAATGTGTTCCATAGGGGGTTTCCAGTGCCATGCTTCAGGGACTCTGGACATGCCACATGACTACAAACACGTGATTAACACCGTGACCTTAAGGTGAGCAGGCATGGAGAAAGGTAGGAGAAAAGGGACGGATTGCAGAAGAAATATATATATAGAAAAAGGGGGAATAAGACAGTTTAAAAAGCCAGCATGAATGGAGGGTGATGAAGTGAGAAACCGTGGAGTTAAAATGGATGGATGATGAAAGACATGATGTTAAAGGAGAAGGAAGACTTAACTGAAAACACGTTTCAAAAGGGGCGGCTGAAGCCTGGTTTACAAAGTGAGAAGGACAAAGAAATGAGAAGTTACTGAGTGGGTGAGAAAAGGCAATTGCGTGTGGACATCTATATTTGTATGGCCTCACTGTTTGTACATCTGGAGAAGATGAAACACAGAGGACATAAAACAGAGACAGGAGGAGAGGACATGTGCGCTGTCGGCTAGACAAAGAGAGAAGTTAATGGCTGTGGTGATAGGAGGAGGAAGGAGATGTGGCCTGTCTTCTGACTTCAAACTACAACAAAGACAGAATGGTCTTTTAAAATGCAATCATTTACTCTAAAGGAACTGAGAGTGGTGTTGACAGACACTGCTTTCCCACAATGCAATGCATTACAGAGAGGGAAGCGCTTCCCAGAGCACGGAAGTACAACAAATACGTATTGCTGAAGGTTTTTGTAGTATTCCTGCTTATGTTTTGGTTATTTTGGAGTTGAAATACTGCAGAAACTGTTCATAATGTGTACATTTTGCCTTTGTCGTCGCACCTATAGTACGTCTACTCTAACAATGACCTAGATATTAGAAATGTGTTTCAATAGGATTTAACCTACAGTTGCTACAGTAACAGCTAAACATTACTCCATATAGCTTCTGGAAGAAATATTGAACAAATGACTAGTACAGGTTAATAATTAAAGGGGTCATATTCTGCTTATTTCCAGGTGTATTTAGTGTCTCTACTGTGCCATGCTTTAATGTCCAAAAACGTGTTTTACATGCTCAAAAACTATAGAAGACAACAGAGAAATATGAAGTCAAATTGAAATGTTAGTAATATTTCCCCAGTCATGGAACAATAAAAGTTTTTCTCTCACACTTTTGTTGACCACGATGTTTCTCACTTTCTATTAG